TGGTAATCTTCGGCATGCTGTTCTTCTCATTTCTGTGATCTCAGCAAAGAACAGCCCATCAAACAGGTGACTAAATTCTGCAGTGAATGTCTCATTTTGTTCTGCATGCTCAACAATAGTTAATGAGGTAGAAACAGCATGCCCTGGGAAGTAAACCAATGCTATAAAATAGAAAAGGTCCTTCCTTGAAAGCAGTTTGAAGGGACAAACTATGCAAGATGTCCCCTAAATCCAACTCTAGTCCAGATCATTCTCCAAGATTCCAAACTTGCATTTCCAATTGCTTCTCCTTACCAACAAATTCTACGTGTCCACAACTCATTTTCTCATTCCACACTTCTCTTTCTTGCATATACTCTATCTCCAACAGTGGCACCACTTATCTACGAGATGGCACACACAAGATACCAAGTGGAAGACTGCAGTCTCCTCTCTCTGTGCCTCTGCCCCTCACTCTCTAGCTTCCTTACACCTGCGCTTCTGCCCCTCACTCTCTAGCTTCCTTACACCACATTAAAGGAAGAGGTGATGCCAAGCAATTTGGTCAGAGCCTGAGATACTGATGAGATCACATTTCACTGGCAAACAAGGTTACTGTGTCCTATGGGTCCATGTTCTGAACAACTTTTTCTGTTGTCCTCAATTCTAGACAACAGAGTGGGGACTACGTCTTGAGGCCTCCCCTTCTCCCTCTTCTCTTCTGGGTTCAGGGCTGCCACTATGTAATCTTAGACAGTTATTGAGCTTATCTCTATTCCTCTGTTTCCTTCTCTGTAAAATGGGAATGTGATAACAACAGTGTATACTTCCTTGAGAAGGTATGGGAATTAAATGAGTTTCTATGTGTCAAGCGCTAAGAACAGTGTTTAGCTCACAGTAAGCAGCAATAACTACTAGGGTAAGTAAGTTGTGGGGGGTCTGTGTAGCTTCTGTTTTCCATGGTAAGCACTCTTTTTAGGGCCATCCAGTCTCTTCTGTTCTTGCTTTTTTGTGGTAACCTGATCTGGGCAGATTTTGTCCAGGTAGATCTCCATTCTCCCTTCTTCTCCTTTTCTGACAAACACCTCTCCCTGAGGCAGAATGAAGTCAGACCATCCTAGATGGGAAAGAACTTTAGCATTTTGAGCCCAAGTCTCATTCCACAAGTTATTGTTACCAGAGAGTACCTTATTAGGCATAATCAAGTACCTACTAATAAAGTGGTGCTTTATTTATCCCTTCCACTCGTTTTCTAATGTGTACAGAAACCATGGTTGAGAACTTAGGACGAGCTGGGGAGGGATTTGAGCTGAAAAACCTATCCTTAACCCCTAACACAAGAACCTCTTAGTCATCCTTGATCTGTCTCTCACTTGTCTACAACACTGATAACATCATTGATAAATGTTATTCATCCTAATTCCTCCATCTCTCTCTTCCTCTCCTTTAGCACTACCTTATTTCAGGTTTTTCACCTCTTATCTGGACCATTACATCAGCCTCCAAAGTGGTCTCTTGAAACCTCTTTACGCCTTCCAAGCCATCCTTAATGTTAGCTGCCAGAGCCACCTTTCTAAACCCACTCATAGCACTTCTTGCTCAACACTTTTCAGTGGTTTATCTGTGCCTATAAGAGTGGGTCTCGACTTTGGTTGAACATCAGATTTAGAGAGATTACATGAGAATTGCTGAAGTAGGGCTGAGGAATTAGGTTTGGTATTTTTTTTAAAGAAAAGATCCCAGCTAATTCTAGGCTGGGCATGGTGGCTCACACCTGTAATCCCAGCATTTTGGGAGGCTGAGGCATGCGGATCAATTGAGGTCAGGAGTACCAAACCACCCTGGCCAACATGGTGAAACCCTGTCTCTACTGAAAATACAAAAATTAGACAAGCATGGTGCTGGGTGCCTGTAATCTCAGTTACCCAGGAGGCTGAGGCAGGAGAATTGCTTGAATCTGAGAGGCAGAGGTTGCAGTGAACCGAGATTGCAGCCTGCACTCTAGCCTGGATGACAGAGCAAGACTATCTTAAAAATAAATAAATTAATTAATAATAATAATAAAAAATAAAGAAAAGATCCAAGCTAATTCAATGTACTACTAGGCCTCAAAACTACTTGTTTACTACCTTAATGAAATATGCAAATTTAGCAGTGCAATGTTACAAGCAATTTTTCTGAGCAGAGTAAGTATATACCCAGTAATTCCAAAATAGTGATGAAAAAGGAAAGTTCAAATTTAGAAGATAGTGCTTAAGAAGGCTAATAGCAATTTGCTTTGGAAAGCTCTAAGTTCTAGACATCTCAAGCATTAGAATAATCTTGAAACTAAGGAAAGAAATAAAAGAGAAGTACAAACATTGATGAAGAAATGAACATGTATAGAGATTTAATAGTAGAGATGAGTGAAAGATGGCAAGATCTTAGAATATTTAAGAACTAGACCATAGGTGTCAAAAAGTGAGCAAAAAAATGCAAATAAAGACAGAGAATAAAGATAAGGTTTGAGTATCTGGCTGCAAGATGACTAAGAAGAAATAATCTGTAAGAAAAGCAGACAGCTGGGTCACTCAATGAAAAGAACATAGCCAGAAAGTTCCAGTTCCTATTCTGCCTTTGCCACTTATTTCCAGCAGTATATTCTTAGACAAGCTAATATTTAACCTTGCTATACTTTGTCTATAAGCAGGGGATAAAACCTATTTCATAGAGTATTTAAAAAAAATTAAAAAGATACACACACACACACACGTACTAAAGTGTTGAGCATAGATTAATGCCCAACAAATGTTTGTTAAATGTTCCTTTTAAAAGTACTAAGGAATGAAATCCAAAGAGGGAGAAATCAAGAAATCTTCCAAAAATCGTTTAAAACAAATACCCAGGAGCCAAAAAATGTTGAATCTCTGTTGTGCTAGTGAATAGAACTTTGAGATTTCTTGTTTCTACATGGCAAAATATGATGTTAGCTTAATTCCGTGAAGGTAATCCATTAAAAAGAATCATTCGAAAACAATGTTATGCCAACATTTAAGAGTTCACACAGTGGGTCTTAATTACCATCACACTGAAATCAACATTATATTAATTACCACTGCATTAAAATGTTTCAGTAAACAAATAACTCCTTAGTGTCAAGTCACTCCCAAATCAGCCTATTAACATTAATGATTGCACTTTCCTGACTTATTTTAGTACAGAAAATTCAAACCGCCTTGGGTGGCATAGTATATGTTTTTGTAAACAATTTTGAAAGGTCAGCTTCTATTTGTCCCAGGGTTACATTCAGGGAGTGGGGAAAGGCCGTGGACTAATTCTGTTATCAAAGAATCTTTCTCTGGCAGGATGTAGTGGCTCATGCCTGTAATCTCAGGCATGTAATCTCATGCCTGTAATCTCAGCACTTTGGGAGGCTGAGGCAGGCAGATCACTTGAGGTCAGGAGTTCTAGATTAGTCTGGCCAACAGAGTGAAACCCCGTCTCAACTAAAAATTCAAAAATTAGCTGGGCGTGGTGGCGCATGCCTGTAATCCCAGCTACTTGGGAGACTGAGGCAGGAGAATCACTTGAACCTGGGAGGTGGAGGTTGCAGTGAGCCGAGATGATGCCATGCACTCCATCCCGGGCAACAAGAGCGAAACTACGTCTCCAAAAGAAAAAAAAAAATTTCGTCACATGCTGCATAAACATTCATGCATATATTTCAGTTGCCATTCCATTAAACTAAGTAAACTTTTGAGCAATATCTTATAAGTCATAAATTAGGAGACCTTTCCTAAATATCCTAAATTTGGTGAAACTGTGCTTTTATCTTTAAAATAAACACTCCTTATTTTACTAGATTTATCAGATCTTATTAGAATGTATCGCTTCCTTTTCCTTTGCTCAGGGGCAGATCTGGTACCTACAATTGCGCCTGTTAGTCAAGATTATGGTTGTTCTGTGATTCAAAAATGGCGCTGGCCTGGTGGGCAGTTAGAGGAGACAAAGAATAAGATTTTCCTAAAGAAACTCTATAAAAGGTGTAGTAAGAAGGGGATTAAAAATACACATAAGCAATAAAACGGCTGCCTGAGGTAGCGTAATTACATAAAGACTAAGAAAGAGAGAGGAATAAGGTGTTTGCACAGTCCCCTTGAGGAAGAGGAAATGGGGTGTTAGAAACAGCATTGACCTGGAAGTAAACAGACCCGGGCTCTGTTCCCAGCTCTGTCATGAACTAGCAGCATGGCTTTGGAATAGTCATTTCCATCTCTGAGTTTGATGTTTTTAATCTGTAAAATAAGGGCGATGGACTAAATGAGGAGTTCTGAGTCCTTTTTATCTCTAAATATCAGTCCACTTTAAAAATAGCAGTTTTCTTTTTTCCAGCCCAGCACACCAGCAGGGACTCTACTGCCACTGAAGTCTGTGTTAGAAACTCCTGCACAGCAGAGTGGGTATACAATTGAATGTGCACAACCTGAATACCTTATACCAGCACTCTGCTCCTCCATTCTCTATACCCATTGGAAAATCACCAGGTCCCTTGATCTCCAGTTGAAAGATGCCACTCATTACAGAAGACACAGCAGGCAGCAGGGGTCTAGGATGGGCAGAAGGAGGAAGGAGCAGTGAGCAACCAGCCTCCCATCTAGGAAGAACTATGGAACACTAAGTCCCTGAGAGGAACTGACTGCCCTAAAGATAACCAACAAGTTCGTGTGACTGGGTTGCGTGACTACACAGGGCTCTTGACTCATGGTCACTGTTTTGCTCACCACCCCATCAAGATCACTATTTAGAGACTTACATCAAATGATGTGCTTTCTGAAATGATCTAATGAATGTCATATGAGTCCCCGCTGCTCCTTAGTTTGAGCTCAGTTTTCATATAGAAAAAAAAGCAAGGGTGACACAAAAAACCACTGAATTGTACGAAGAATGGTATATTCCACAACAAGCCCCCTCATTAAACTAACTCCTCATCATTCCCTTGGATCATGAGTCCAGGTTCGGATTATCTATGAGAGTTTCCTTACCATCCCAATGCAGAAGAGGATGAAGAGCAGCAGCCATGGTATGTCTGTGCAGCTACGGTCCTCCAGTGGCTTCCATTCTCTTTTGGAGCTCTAATTGGAAACACAAAATAAGACAGTGTTAAATGTTAAGTTTAGTTAGAAGGGCACAAATACATCAGCTACAGCTAGAGCCCTTCTTTGTCGAACAAGTTTCCATTGAACCTTTAAGACACAACTCAAATATTTGTCATCTTTTCTGTGACGTTTATGCTAACTCCCACAGCTAATACTCCCCTGGCTCTACTCCCAATCCTCTTCCTGGTCAGGCCCGGCAGTGAGTTCACTGCTTTTTTGGTACCTATACTGGAGTTTTTAGCAGGCAAAATTGTCATTTTTATTTGTTATGCTGTGTCCCCAGCAGACTGTGAGTTTCACAAGCAAAGAGACCAGGTTTATTTCTCAGCATCTAACATGATGCATGAGGATTCATAATATGTACTCAGTAAGGGCTTTTAAAATGAATAAATAAATGAATACATTCTTCCAAATTCAGTCTTAATGCTAGCTTTTTCTTTGTGTGTTCAGATGCCAAACTTAAAAAAAAAGAATGTGCTGTTTTATATATATATATATATATATATATGTTATCTCCTAGGAAGGATGCCCATCAAAATGGATTCCTATTCAGGCCAGGCCTGGTGGCTCACATCTGTAGTCCCAGCACTTAGGGAGGCTGAGATGGACGGATCATCTGAGGTCAGGATTTTGAGACCAGCCTGGCCAACATGGCAAAACTCCATCTCTACTAAAAACACAAAAATTAGCTGGGCGTGGTGGTGAGCTCCTGTAATTCTAGCTACTCAGGGGGCTGAGGCAGGAGAACTGCTAGAACCCAGGAGGTGGAGGTTGCAGTGAGCTGAGATCGTGCCAGTGCACTTCAGCCTTGGCAACAAGAGCAACACTCCATCTCAAAAAAAAAAAAAAGGTGGGGGGGAGGATTTCTATCAGGGGTAAATTCTTCTAAGTCTAATAATATTCAGGAAGAAAAAATTCCGCTTTTATAGACAGATCTGTGCAGCTCCTAAATAATCCATGCAAATTCATGCATTTTCATTTTGCTCCTAGAAAATGTGAGTTTCTAGATCAAACACAGAGAATCCTGAAGTACAGAACTAGAGGCATTCTAAAAGTTAATTTGCAAAGAATTGACTGGAATTCTAGTTGCATTTTTTTTTTCTTATATCAATAGTCTTAGGATCTCAGGTCAGCTCACAAATTCCTTTTAATGGAAATGTAACTGAAATAACCCCCCTGAAGTTTCTAATGAACAAAAATCCCTGAGTCTCACACCTTCGCCTGGAAAAAGTAAGCAGAGAAGTGAGAAATAAGATATTCTTGGAAAGCCTATGGGAAAGGTTCCTCTGAAAAGGTTGAGGCCTCCAGTGGCTTCCATGACAAGATTCACAAAGTTATTTGGAAAAGGCTTGTCAGGAAGAAAGGGCACCAGCAGGAGGGGGCTGAAAATAAGGGAGCCCTCTGGTAAAATTAGAATATATAGAGTGTAATCAGGCTAAGTTCTCTCTTCCTCTAAAACCATAATATTGAACTATGTATCCTTTAATAACCTGATGGAAACTACAGGTTCTTTTCTTAATATGTAAGCATAGTCCAGGCACAGTACCTCACTTTGGGAGGCTGAGGCAGGCGGATCACCTGAGATCAGGAGTTCGAGACCAGCCTGACCAACATGGAGAAACCCCGTCTCTACTAAAAATACAAAATTAACTGGGCGTGGTGGCGCATGCCTGTAATCTCAGCTACTCAGGAGGCTAAGGGAGAAGAATCATTTGAACCCAGGAGGCGGAGGTTGAGGTGAGCTAAGATCACGCCATTGCACTCCAGCCTGGGCAACAAAAACAAAACTCCATCTCCAAGCTAAAAGTAATCATATATTCACATAACTTTCATAAGAATTTAGGGAATTCAAACCCCAGGTTAAGAAACACAACTTTAAAATATTTGCCTATCAACAATGAGGGCAGAGAATTTGAGTTAAAACCATTTCTTCCTAACCCCTAAAGTGTTAACCAAACAAATGCTCTGTTACTACCTTACACTGTACAATTGTTATGAACAGAACAAAACAAAAAACACAACCAGTTAGCTTGTTCCCAAACACCCACACGGAAAACAAAAGAACACTAGTTAGTCATGGAAAAAAAACCTTACCCTAAGACTCTAACTAGCATTAAAAACCAAGAATGAATAGGCAGTTTTTTCCAGAGGAATGCAGCACTGTGGCATAATAGATGAGGCACTGGTTCTCTCCCTGGCTCTGTCATTAGTTAGCTACATGACTTTAGATAAATTGCTTCGTCTCTCTTGGTGGCAGGAAAGAGTTAGTTTGTACCTCTTAGGTTCTTTCCAACTGTAAAAATCTATGATCAGGAATGCACTTTTGTGAAAACTTTGTTATGACTGGAAAAAACTGCAAAATAATTTGACATAATTCCCTGTATTATTCATATAAGAATGCCTGTATTGTGGTATTTTGGAAGACAGTTGTTCACAGTGTGAATGAAGAATGTTTCTTTGTATTAAATAATTTCAGTCTTGAATAATACCCATTACAGTAAAACTGCTTCCAAACACAGAATTTGGACACATCTCTGATATTCATTATATTTATTCTATGATAATTTATAAAGCAAAAGCTACTTTGAAATGCTATATTTGTTTGTCTTGACAAACAGCATGTATGGGGAGGGAAGAAAGGGGAAGCCTCAGGTTGGCTGAGTAGTTTCTTTATCCACAACTATTTTCTTAGTATTTTTACCTCAGACCAACATTCAGTTCATTAATGCTTAAATTTTCATCTATAACATAAAGGAAGAGATATTTCACTCTTGACTAGAAAAATACAAAGATTCAGCATCTCAACAACTCCATTCAACTTGCTGTGGGTTACTTCTGTGCAAAATACACAGAAATTCTTTCACTGAAAATGAGAAGTGGAAAGAGGGTAGGAATTTTATGTAAAAAATATTGACAGAGTCTAAAGTAGAGTGGAAGAACAAAAGTTGGACAAAGGAAGACTTAGCAGAGGAGGGGTCGCTTACTTCACAGAGCTGTTCTGAGGAGTACATGTGAGCACCTGTCACCCAGCATGCACTCAGTTCTTGGGTTTTATTATTATTATTCATCAATACTTTTCAGTTAACCCTCTCTTTGTTGTTAAAATATCCTTTCACCAAGTGGACCTTCCCACTAAAAAGGATATAAAGAATATTAAACTCTCTTTTTCCCTTATATTTACTAAAAATTTGACTCAATGGTGGCACATATAATTGTTAATACCATTAGTTATTGATTGCTGTTAATCAAACATTAGACTCACAGCTTCACACACACTGTGTCTTCTACCTTCTAAAGGTAGAATAGAGATGACGTAGGTATCATCTCTTTCACAGACGAGGAAACTCAGGCTCTGAAGTTAAATAATCAGCCTAAGGCTTCACACCTGTACAATCAGTCTTTGTCCCCAAGTTTTTGACTCCAAAGCCTATTCCAAGGCCTATTCCAAAGCCTACTCCAAAGTCTATTGCACTAGTTAGTAAAAAGCAACAGCCTCTATTAGTTTCTCCTTGTAAGCCAACTCAATAATTTAAAATCCTATTGGTACAGAGAAAGCAAGTGAAATATGTTAGGAGCCATGAAGTTTCTCAAGTGAGTCAGAAAACCCAAGAGCTGAAAAATTTTAATAATTCTTTAACAGATTTAACCAAGTGGCAACAGGATTTAATGCTGTCTGTTTCTTCCAATTAAAATTCTACATAGATCTAGCAAATGTAAACTGTTTTGCAAAAGAACTTTTTAAATGTGATTTTACACCTTTCTCAGATTCTACATGTGATTAATACCAGGCTTTCCGTAAATGTTAGGTCTCTCCCCTTCACAGAATCTTGCAATTGAGGAACTAAATAGTACCAAAGGAATCATATAGTCCAAGCCTTTAATGAGAATGATTGAGGCCCAGAGACGAAGGGGCTTGCCCAAGGGCACACATTTTTGTTATCTATGACCGCATTTAATTCCCAAAACAATTCTGTTAGTTACTATTACTACTGACTTTTCTATTTTATAGAAGAGGAAACCAAAAATCAAAGAAAACAAGTGGAAAATCTATGTCCGACACCTGAGTCTCAAACTCTAGCAGAAAAATATAAACTATAAGACAGGATCCAGGGATGCTAAAACGAACAAACACACATGATAACAAAGATGAAGAATGCTCTCTCAGGTTCATCAGTGTACTAAACACAGGCAAGGAAAAAAATTGGTACACTCAATGACAAGTTAACAGAAATTTTCCAAACTGAAACACACATACACACACACACACACACACACACAGAGAGAGAGAGAGAGAGAGAGAGAGAGAGAGAGAGAGAGAGAGAAAGAGAGAGAGAGAGAGATTTAAAAACCAGAATAGAGCATCAAGAACAAATGATGTGACATATGTGTAATTGAAATCTAAGAAGAAGACAGAATGAGGCAGAGAAAATATTTGAAAAAATAATGACTGCAAATTTTCCAAAATAATGAAAGAAATCAAAGCACAGATCCAAGATGTTCAGAGAATCCCAAGCAGGATAAATGTAACACACAAACACATACCCCCGACACATATTATACTCAAACCCTTGAAAACCAAAGATACAAAGATCTTGAAGGCAGCCAAAGGGGTAAAAAAAGACACATTATATACAGAAAAACAAAGATTACAACAGCCTTCTTGTTAGAAACTATGCAAAGTAGAAAACTACAGAATGACATCTTTAATTCACTGAAAGGAAAAAGAAAAAAAAAAAAAAAGAAAAAAGAAAAAAACTACCAACCCCAAATTCTATGCTGACAGAAGACATCTCTCAGACATGAAGACTTTTCAGACCAAAAAAACATGACAGAGTTTATTAGTCACAGATCTGAACTGTAAGAAATGTTAAGGAAAGTTCTTCAGGCACAAGGAATTGATACCAGACAAACTTGGGGGTACAAAAGAAAGATTTAAAGATGAGATTTTCCATAATAAAAAGTTTTTAATGTTTAAA